ATAAAAGCCAAGGAAAGAACCTAAATCCACCCCCTGCCCCAAATTCCCCTACACACATGTGGAGAAGCCACCTTATACCGTGGGTAGGCAATCCAGTGTGTTACTGGGTTTTTCCCATTCACAGCTACATGTACAAGGAAAAGCAAGGCCCTGCAGCAGGAATCCCCATTTCAAGGAAGCAATCCCACTACACAGGATGGAGCTGCACCCTACATCGTGTATTGGATGGGGTGAGGCCGCTATGCAGTCACAAATAAACTGCCAACCCCTCCCAGCATCTCCCATCCCATTCTAAGGTTCATCCAGAGAGTAAGATCCCTGCAGGCAGAGCTCACCTCCAGGCCAGCCTTGCTGCTTGCTGCTCACTTGCAGAGGCATGTGTGGATCATCCAAACTTCTCCTGAGTGGGTACCAGTCACAGCAGCAGCTTTGGCCTGATGCTCATGTCCTCCAGGGGCCCAGCCTTGGCAGAAGGGCTCTCACCCTCTTCATCTCTTCTAGAGTCTCTTCTAGGACTCTTCATCTGGGAGCTCCTCTGTCAAATTACCTGGTAGCCCCAAAAAATGTGGGGAGTGCTGAAACAGGGGGACTTCACGAGGGAGAGGGTGATGAATTTAGGTTCTTTCCTTGGCTTTTATGTCTGACTTCCCAGCTGACCTCAGAGACACTGTGAAATCTCTCCATACCTTCATCCCCCCACTTTGCACCACTAGGTCAGGAGGCAGAGGCTGTCCCTGGAAATGTAACAAATGGTTGTCATTTCTTTGGATGCACCCAGGAGTAGCTGCAATGCTGTAGCCTGTGCAGGGCCAGTCATCCCCATCACTGGTCCTATAAGTACATGTAAGTAGAATTATACCAGAGCCACTGCACACAAGTCTTTCCCTACACAGCTTGAAAGAAATTATCCTAGCACTGGGTTTAGGGTGATGCACAGGTGACACAAGGGGCAAGCTGCCAGGCTGACGCCATGTCGATTTATTTGTCACATGCAGGAGACAGGACAACGAGAGCATCAGGATCAGCACGCTGTGCCACAACCCCCACCGCCCCATCGAAAACCTCATGGTCCCCAACTACAACACCTCGCGCTGCATCATGAGCCACCAGCCCAGCGAGGACGGGGTCATCTATGTCTGTGGCTGTGTGGATGAGCAGGAGTGCAATGACAAACTCATCTTTGAAAACCACACCAATGGTGAGTGCTTTTGTTAATGTTGTTTATGGGGGGAGCAGCACCCAGCACCAATGGCAAATCCCTTGTATTTCCTGCAGAGTAGGAGAAACAATGGCAGAAGAGGCTCTTTTGCCATCTTCGACTTCCCTACATAAAAGCCAGTTAAGATCTCTACCCCTTTACTAAGCCCAGCATTTTGTCTGTGGACAAAGCTTTCCTTGCAGCAATTCCTTCAGCCTTTGTCTGGAAACATCAGGTGATAGAAAATCTACCACATCTCTCAGTGGGCCATGCCTTCAGCACTGGTTGAATCATCTGGGGAACCCAGGAACTGGTATAACCCAATGTGAGTCCAAAGCTCTGAAAGCTTTAAATAAATCGCTTTGGAGCAAATCCTGCCCCAGAACACACCCACAGGAACTGCTGGCATCCCCCACGGCTGTAACCCAAAGAGGTGGAGATGCAGAGGGTTGGGCACACAGAAATGCCTCCCCTGCTGCTCTCCTGGGAATTCCTGCAGCAGAGTTTCTCCCCAGAGCCACCTGGGTGCTGAGCATACGTGAGTGTGGTTTGGCATGCTGATGCACATGGCTGGAGATCCAATGGGAGCTGTTAAGCCACAGGAGGAAAAACTAATAGGCAGCTCATTTCTGTACC